TGAATCTTGCGTTTTCTATACCCTTTTGCGAAATTTTATAACCGAGATATTTAAGTTCTTTAGTTGCGAACTTGCATTTTGAGGCGTTAATTGTAAGACCGGCCTCTTTTAATAATTTAAAAACTTGTTCTAGATCTTTAATGTGTTGTTCCAACGTACTACTCGTTATAATTATATCATCTAGATAAATTAAAGTTGATTTTCCTAGGACAGGCTTTAGAACAATGTCCATAGCTCTCTGGAATGTTGATGGGGCCCCACACAACCCAAAGGGCATGCGTAAAAATGCATAAGTGCCCGATTTTGTTATAAACGCGATTTTACTCGTATGTATGTCTTCGGGTCTCATAGCTATTTGATAGTAGCCAGACGTTAAGTCCAAAGTAGACATGTATCTTGTAGATTTGATCTTTCTAATAATTTCCTCTATAACCGGCAAAGGGTAAACTGGGAATTTAGTAATACTATTTAGTTTTCTGTAATCGATAGCAAACCTCCAAGCCCTTTTATCCGAAGGAGGAAACTCGTTCTTTTTCCTACATAGTACGACTGGACTCGCGTACTCACTATTTATGGGCGTTATTATTTTATTCTTTAACATCTCCTGAATATGTTCTTCGATGATTACGTCTTTTTGTTTGTCATAACGGTAAGGTTTAGTCCTACAAGGTTTTTCGGCATTTAATTGTATCTGATGCGTAACTATTTGACAACTACCAGGCTTTTCTGAAAACAAGTTAGAAAAATTACTCACCACTTGCTGGATGGCTTTGACTTTCATGGTCATTCAAATGGCTAAGGTCCACTTGCGGTTGTCTCCACAGGTTCCACCACCCTCTGGTCCATCTCCAGCACCACGGAACTATCTTGAAAATTCAGTTTGGCCCTCGCGGCCCCTTAAAAACTCCATACCTAAAATAAGAGGATTTTGCAGATTTTTCACTACAAAAATTAATACTTTGAGGATTTTCCTCTTTTACCTGTAATGTTTAATGATAATTTCCCGATGCAGTGACAGGTTTTTCCTTGCGCCGCTATAATTTCCGTATTTTTGGTTTTAAATAATCGTACCCTATAAAAATTCTTTTTGAAGAAAATGTTTCACTCATAAAATTTCCTTCTGCTCCTGTATCGATGAGGGCTTCTACTGGTACATCGCCAACCAGGACTTGTATAATTGGTAGATGTGAGTTTTTTACGATGACCGTATTTAAATGTCTTTTGAGGGTTTTTTTTTAAAACTTCCGGGGTCTGGACCCTCCGCTTTCACAGGCCCCTCTACTCGTTTTTTAAAGCTTTCCTTTCAACTTCTGCCTTCTGGGTACGCGGATGTTTGTTTTCAAATTTTCTTTTTGGGCCTTGACCTTCGAGGTTCGATGAGTTAGCTTGATAGCTCTTTCCCCCATAAGAGCGATTTGCATTTCTGGTTTGCTCATTTGAAGATTTCCTTCGGGTACTTTGAGAATATGTTTGCCCCTCTAGCTTTTTCCGCTATTCTGCGATTTTGAAACTTCACGGCCAATTCGAAGAGCTCCTGCAATGTGCTTGGGTTTCTAATTTCAAAGTAGTCTTGAACAGCGGGTAACAATCTTGGTAATATTATTTCAATAATCTCCGCATCGGGTTTCTTTCCGTCAGCTTAATCAGCATATCCGTCAGCTTAATTTTTCGCAAAATAAAGTCCGTCAACTCTTCTATATCCCGTTGATAGAAACTATATAAATCAGCTTCTAGCCTTGCTCGATCTTTCACTATGGGGAAGGCCTTTACTAACGATTTTTTGAAATTTTCAAATGTATATGTCTGGCTTCAAAATTCCCCTAATAAAAATTTGCCTATATTCTTCCACCATAGCGCGGCCTGTCCTCTTAGTGCAGATGTGGCGATGGCAACTTTTTGTCTTTCAGGCACAGGGTAGAGCTGAAAGTGATTTTCTAGCCTTCTAGAAATATCGCCACCGAATTTTTTCCGTCGAAATGACGTTTGGCTTGATTGACGCTCTCAAAGTCTGGACCAGGTATCCAAATCCTTCCAATTGGCTTGCCATTTCTTGGTGTTGTCCCGCGGCTTCCATCCGATTTTCGGCCATTTCAGTTCGATAAGTGTTCGGGCGCCAATGTAGAGTTGCGCGCCTCCAACTTGCACGCAACCAAGAGGTGACTGTTGAAACTGGAAAATAGACAGAGTCTTGCTAAGGGTTTAAGTCCCTTTTTATTCAACTTAAGAAGTTACAATTGCGTGCTCTTGACGCTCACAAACTACGCCGACCCGGCGGTAAAATAAAAATAAGAACCTGAAAAGAAATAATAACAAGACTCTAACTACGAGGCTCTCTAAAAGTAACTAACCTCACCGCGTTTTACAATACCGCTGCTAATTCAGCAAACTTTGAATATCACGTTGAACGATTAACAATTCTCCGAGGCAAGCACACAGGCCGAAACGCGGGGTTCTTCAATTTCTGGCTAACTACCTCCGCGCTCGTGAAGTAAGAACAGCACACTTCGAACTCGTTTCCTTTCTATTTAACAGAATACTTCCGCTGATAATTTGAATCCTTGCGCGTTCTACTAAAATTTACATACTCTGGCATTGGCAGTTCCGGGGGAAAGTAAGGCTTGACAGGAAAGTTGTTTAAACTTAAAATAAATATTAGTTAAAATAAATAAAAACCCTACAACTTAATTTAAATATTTTTTTGAGTAAAAGCAAACAAAATGCATATATACAAGTTAAAATGGTTTAGATATGACATTTTAGACAGTATAATTATGTTAAATCAGAGTTATAAAATTTTTAAAGAAATTAGATCTTCGCCTTCTTATTGAAGTTCAAAGAAACATGGCGTAATGGCAGTGATCAGTCTATTAGGCCAAACTACAGTTTCCTTAATACTATCGGAGATAAAGTTTTAGCCAGAATTATTACAGCGTTAAAGTAAATTAAATTTGAATAAAACAATTTGGAGTGAACACGCGTTACATTTAGATGATGCAAAAACTAAGCATTAATTACGTGACATCCCGTAAACTATAAACGGTACTTCGATTACAAAGCAAGTAAATTAATGCTACTTTTAAAGCCGAAAAATAGTATTTCTGGTGAATATTTAGTTGAGGACAGTTATGAACGAGTAGATTTTCAAGTACGTGGATCTCCGCACGAATATATTTTCTTTCAATTAAAGAAGAGCCTGTATATGATCTTTTTAATAGCGGAAGTATAAAAGAAAGCATTCGACTTATAGATAAATTTATAATGAATGAATGTCGATGAAAATGATGTTTTTATGCCAATTCAACATCATAGACATACTCGTACATGTTACACAGGTACAAAAAAAATTAATTTTCCGCAGCCTTTTGTGAAAAGGACAATAAATTTAGGTCATTAAATAATGATGAAAATACTGGTGAAACTGCAAAAATTCCGTTTGAAATTTGCAATTAAAGGTTATATTTTAATGGACTTTTTAAGCTATTTTAATTAAATTAATAATAACAGAAGAACAGTATATTTTAGCTTTGAGGAGTTCATTAAAAAGAGCACAAATATTTTTTAAACCTAGCAGTTAAGAAGTAAATATTAATTGTTATAAGAAAACCATATTACATTTATTTGAGGCTAACATAGACATACAGTTTTTTTGGGAAGACTAGAGTGTAGCATTGCACATAATGAACTACTTAGGAAACGTGAATGCAAGTCTATCTAAACTTTTACGTGATATAGAATCTGATGTGAATAGTGATAACAATATTAGAGCAGGGAAGAAAAATTACTGGCGTATTTTTGAACAGTAATTTAACGCTGGCACAAGAAGCAGAATATTCCGTTTTATCGTTGCCGCCGTCAAAACGTAGTTGAAAAACGATTCATATTAACACAAGTCCAATAAATGAACGCGATTTTATGTCAAGTCACCAGGTAAACTATGACAACTGAATTCTGATTCACTGAAATATTCATGGATAACGCCGTAATAAATAATAAAATACGCCAACGGACCACCAACGCTCAAAAATATACCTTTAGGAGATCTTGCTTCTATTTATTAAAAACGAAAAATTTTAAATATTGACAATGATTATGAATTAATTAAACATCAACCTAAAGAAATTACTAGATATAGACGGTAAAAGTTAGATCAAGACTCATTCAATTATTATTGTGAAGAAATTTTGTTATTTTTGCCTTGGCGAAAAGAAACGATACGAAAAACATTTAGTATAATAATATAGAAACAATCGAACAAAAATATTCGGTTATAGGTGACGATGTATTACAATAAAGCTTTAGACAATGCTAAATAAAATTCAGAAAGCCAAGAGTAAAGTGCCGTTTTGCGAAGGTCGATCAGTACCCCAAAATGTAGATTCATAATTAGATATTATAGCAATCCCGTATACAAAATTTCAGCATTCTACAGCTAACCTTTTTGAGATATGCGAAAAATATTCTTCGAGCAAAGTGCCCTTTTGGCACTGCCGATTGCAATAATAAAGAGAGGTGCCCAACAAGATGTTATAGTAGTTCTGTAAGCAAAATTTCAGCATTCTACGAATAATCTTTTCTGGGTTATGCGAGATGCATGCGTACATACAGGTGTCGCTCCGAAATTAGTCAAAAGCTCCAAATACAAAATTATTCCAAATTCCAAAAACAAAATTTTAGTATGCCAAGGCTTGGAGAGTTGAAATTAGGAACTACGCTAAATACAGTAAGCAGTCATAGCTGAAACGACATAACTGCATTTTCCTTTTCCCTTTTATTATTTTCAATATTTTTTAAGTGACAGAAGGATGTGTAAAAGGCGAATTTTTTTTAAGAAATCATAAAATCCTTTAAGTTTTTTCAAATGATGTACCAAAAAGTGATCTCTGAATAAAAACAAATTAACGTATTCCTAAAACTTTTACTGTTACGCAGCGGTATGCATTTATAGAATTAAAAAAAACTGAAATATTGATGATACTGAATTTCTATTTATATGTTTTTAGATCATTTAATCAACTCATTGGTGATTTGCAAGAACTTCAGACTAAAGATTATGGAGATGAAGCTAGACTGCGGAGGTAAGAAATAATTTGAATACAGTACATCATGAGACTGCAGCGTGACTATCTCAAGGCATTTCAGATATTCCCTCACTATTATCAGAACTCACGAGTTCAGTTAATACAAATGCCACTCCTCACTGTTTTTCAAATATTTCGTTAATTGGTGATCAGTTTTGGTTGGTACAGGCACATAATTATTGTTGTTCTGAGATTTTCTGTCATTTATTTTTATGCTTTGAATATAATAAATCTGATTTGTTATTGTAAGACAGGCCTTAACGTTTTATATGATTATTAGCTTTCTCTATAAAATTGCCATATCTTTTAATTGCTACTGTAACCTTGCATTTCTTATCAATAAGTGATTAATTTTATTTAAAAAGTTACAAAACTAGTCATTTTTTAATAAATAATTATGTACCTAATATTAATAGAAAACTTTCCTATCTAATATTTTTATTAATCATTATGGGGGGGTACAGGAAAGGAGAAGAACATATTATTGTAACAATGAATAGGAAGAAGAGTGCTGCTTATTGACTATAAAGACAAACGTGTATATTTATTGTGCAATATTTCTATTGATTCCAAAGGAAAGCAAAATTCAAAGTAATTTTAAAAATATCTGTTCCATTTTTAATATTGATTGTCCTGTCAATTCTTAAATACTAGGAAAGCAGGTTTCGTATTTAAAATCTGCAGTGATCATCCAACAAAACGCTTTCACTAAACCTCTGGAATGATTAAAGTCAGCGATTATTCTATCGGTTAAAATAGCAGATTCCTCAGCTAAGAAGAAAAAACAATTTACAGCTCGGGAGATAGTAAAGGAAGCTATATTAAATTCTAACGGATTTAAGAATAAGCTCTAAAATTGTTATAATTATCTGCAAAAAATATAAAAGTAGAAATGAAGCATCTGTAATTCAGTTAGAAACAGAATTAACAGATAATTTAAAAGATGTATTTATAAGATATTTCTCCCGCCTTCTTAGCATGCCTTTATAGTGTAGTGGTCAGCACGCTCGACGCCTATTCTAGAGGTCCGTGGTTTGAATCCTGGCGATGGCGTTGCTCATTTTTCATCTTTTCTGCTTCCAAAATATCTAATGTCTCTACAATGGCGCCTGAACTAAAAAGGGTGGTGGATGATGATTCTCCATCCCTAGGAATTGGCGATTGGGTCCCCTAATCCCCAGTCGCCCTTTAAAAAGGGGAGTATATAAGGTATTTCTCCCACCTTCTTGGTGTGCCTTCGTGGTGTAGTGGTCAGCACGCTCGACGCGTATTCGAGAGGTCCGTGGTTGGAGTCACGGCGAGAGCATTGCTCATTTTTCATCTTTTCTGCTTCCAAAATGCCTAATATTTACATTTCATTACAAATAAACAAAGTACAATTAGCAGTATACGTGAAAATGCTGTTTGTTAAATTTCTATAAAAGAAACATTTTTTAGAATTCTTCTATTAAAAGAGCGACCAGAAAGATGATATATTTTCTGCATTAAAAAATATTTTAATTGATACAAAAGGAGCAGTGTAAAAATTAATTCCGATTACTACAGACGACGAAGGAGCAGTGAGCGCGAGGGTTTTAGTTTTATTGTCTGCTGCAGACAGAATTGATTCCATGTATTCCAACCTTATTGCGTACCATTATAAGTACCTAAGCAAATTCTATACTAAAAAATTATCGGCTTTCAAAATGTAATTTTGGTTTCAGGAAAAATTATTAATTTTACAATAATAAAATCAGGTGCGCTGCAACAGAAGTTATTTAAATAAATTTTTGGAAGATTAAGATACTCATTTCATGTCCTTTATAGAAAGATTGAGTACATACAAGATGCTGGAGCCATCTGTAGCGTTGCTTTTATACCAGAAATATAAGAACTTAATTTATACGGGAGAGAATTTTATGAGCAGGTGGAAAATAAAGATTGGCTAAGCAATCTCGGAGTTTTATCTGATATAACGGCGAATTCAATTAATTAAATCTAAAATCGCAGAAGAAAGTTTATATATATGTTAATATGAGGAGTTCGATAAATGCATTCCATTAAGAATTTAATTATCACACTTTCCTAATAGAAAACTAACCAGTCAGCGGCCGAGTGCTAGGTTCGTTGAACACTGATAGTTTAATCCGGATACAAATTCCAGTGAATTAACTGACTGCATAAGAAATTTCGTGGTTTTCTTTTTTTCAACGTAAATGTGAACCAATTTCGATTAAAAAGTCATTAATTAAGGCGTCTCTGTTCATAGGCAGATGCCTTCGAGTGCTTTGCCATGGTCTATATAAGCAATGGCGAATCTTTTTCAATTAATGTGCCAATTAAATTACGTTTTATTATTTTCAGGCGTCTATTGTGCTACTCGTTATATTTATTTTTAAAATTCATTTTTAAACCCCTGTTTGGATTTCAGACTATCGAATTATATTTTGTAAGTATATCTGCTGTTTAGTTATTAACTTCCATCAAATGTAAGTTGAATCAAAAAACAGTATTTAAAAAATATTTCAGTTTAATAGTAAGATAATGTAAAGTATCCGAAAGCGGACACCCTTTATTGTAAGTGAAAAAATAAAATAAAGGTAATTAATGTTAGATGTTTTTAAATTTTTAATGTTAGATATTTTAAAATTTTTTTTTATAGTATGGAGAATTAGAAGCATCAATACAATTCAAAATACATTATAATTGTCTTTATTTCTTCACTTTAAAATGCAGTGTTCTGTTTAAAACGCTTCACTTTTACTTTTCAAAATACATTCATTTAATAGTATAAACAAATACTACGATATTATATTCAAAATCTATACGCATTTAATTCCATTTAGTTTGACACCTGCTGCTGAACATTTTTGAGCCATGTCATTTGTATTTGGGTCTTGACTTGTGCTTAATAATACATAAGATTCACTTAAACCTGAACCAAGAGGGTATCTTATAGTCGATTTTATAGAGTTCATTGTTCAGAACACCTGCTCAGTTCAGAACACCTACGAGGACCCAAAAATTGTAAGCATTGCAAATTGTTTTCATGGCCAAAATTTTTATGGGAGATTTTTCCATTGTTCAAGGATTACGTTTTCTGATTTTTGGATGCAATATTTGGAATTCGCACCCTCTCCTTCCTCTAATCCTTCGCCAAGTTTGACAAATTTATTTACCCACATTTTACAATAACAATTTCAATAATATTTCATAAACAATTTCAGTTTATGAAATTCTTTCAATTCCGTTTCCAAACTGTCAATATGTAACCGCTCAAAAATTATCACTTTATGATTATATCCATTTTAGCAAAGGGAGGTTTCGAAATACACTGCAATGTTTTCTCCCCCATATTCCGAAATTAAGAAAATCGTGCTGATACTATTTCCTTTGAATTTTCTATAATATCCAAATAGCTCTTAAACATATTTTCTGTCTTCCGAAGATATTTTATCGGCAAAACTTGACGTCGGTTCTAAGTGTCTTTTAAGTCAATTTCTTAATGTTCAAGTGTTTTAAGTGAATTTCTTAATGTTTAAATGAATGTTGTTTGAATATCTTTAAATAATATGTCAAGTTTGCGCCCTAAGGATCTTATTATCTCAAACAATCTATTTGCAGTTTCTCCTTTTCCTTACAATTGCTTATTAACATCATTATATAATAGCGTACAGTCTTTGAAAAACATTAAATCACACAGCCAAATAGGATCTGCGAGTTCTGGAAATACTTACTCCTCTTCTGTTACACAAAAATCGAATTTCATCCAAAAGCTCGAGAAATCTGTGAAGAACTTGTTGACGATTTAGCCAACGACCGTTATTTTACATAAGAAATACGCATATTAAGATCCTGCTTTCTATAACAACTTTGAGAAATGGCGATTATTTAGAGCACATGCTGATATGAAGTTGGCAAATTTAGCTATTACTTCGCTTTTGCACATAGTCCTCGTTCATGCAGACTGCAATGAAATTGCACAATGGGATACTGAACTTCTTCAACCAGAAATTTTACAAACCCGTTATCTATTCCTACCATATTTGGAGCACCATCAGTTGCTACACACACAATTTTCTTCAAGTCAGATACCATTTTACTACCTTAATTTGGATTTATCAAGCCTTAATTTGGATTAAGAGATGCGTTGTCTTTCGAAATGTGATAAATATTTATACAGATTGTTTGTCGCTGCTTCAATCTCTCTCCCACCCAAACAACGCCAATCCTATCATCATGAAAAGCAAAAACTGTTTACAAACTTCGAACGGGTACTTAGATGTGAAACTGTATTGAATCAAATCTCATGTGGATAATATTGGAAACGAAAGGATCTAAACAGACAGCCATCACACACATGAAAACATTTTACATTGACAAATGGAAAATCCTGTAGGAAAGTTCACCAAAAAATAAAGGATACATGAAAATTATCAGAATTTCTAACAAATGGCTATTTTTAACAATACTGATTTAAACCAAATTCTTACTGGCCACGGAAGATTCCCTATTACTTTATGAGATTCAACTTACGAAGTAATGAACTTTGTAGTTCTTTTAATGCCATTGGAGACGCGAAACATGCGGAGGACTGTCCTATTTTTGCCAATCAGAGAAGCTTTACAAAATTGACAATGCTATATATAATAATAATTTTGATATCAAGGCTTTTATATCTTTTTCACAAGATTTCTTCAAATTTATTAATGCAAATCGAGGTGTAATAGGAATTCTGATCTGATGCTGTTTCTTTGTGTTCATTTTTGTTTGTATGTTCGTGAGTGTTTGCTACATGTTTTTCCTCATTTTTATTTTATATTTGAGTATTATGTGTATCTTATTTATGTTTTGTATTATGTATTATTTATTTTGTATCTGACGTCCTTTTGGGGTTACTATTTTTTTTTTTTTTTTACCATGAGACCACTTCGTGGCCAGGAGGGTCTGAGTGTTACCCAAATGTATTACAATGTATTATCATTTTTACTGCAAGTTCTGCTTTATTTCATTATTTATATCTTTACTGGTGGTCATGGTAGGTAATCTCAGCAATGTAACTAATTTCTCTCTGTCGTTACATTTCCTCAAGCAAATCGAGCGAAAACAGCTAACCTTGTACGTAAAATCATACCGGTGCTTTCTCCGGTGCATAGCATACTGAAAACATCTCGACGTTATCTAAATCCGATGTCATTTGCTTTGAAACATCTTCACTCATTTTTACTATTCTATCCTTCACAATATTTCTGCTGGCAGGCAGTTTTTTAATTATACTGATTATTTGTTGTCTGTTGGGTAAACTCTGCAAATAATTTGTCGGATGTGACTAGGAAAGCCGTCTTCAGAAACTCACCATCAGAAAGGGATTTCCCATGCTATACTATATAGTAAGACATATGGAAACTCGCTTCAATAATATTATTCTTTGGTTTAAAAGAAGATGCAAAATAACTTATTTGTTTTGCGTATTGCTTTATTTTTTGTGCAATGATTTGTGCTCCATTTTGCATGAGGCAAACACTTCTATGATTCGTTTCGAAATAGCGTGCCATTAAACGTGCGAGATACTAATTTTAAGGAGCACAAGCAACACGAAAACACTAAACTTTCTTTGTTTTTTGTATCCAAAGTCCGTTGTCATTTGTTCTCTGAACATTCTATCACTTTCCTTGCTAAATTTCTGTTTTTTTTTTTTTTTTTTTTTTTTTTTTTTTTTTTTTTTTTGGAAGCATGTTTGGCAGGTTCTCGTTCAGAAACACAAGAAAGAAGAAACAATTTTAATACATACAAGACAAAGAATAAGCTACGCACACAAATTAAAATTTTTTAACTCAAGGTGAACATGAAACCTATCTGTAGCTCAGAAATATGGCGCCAAATCTCAATTTGCAAGCTGTTATTTTTATGCTATTCCTTGCACTGGCACCAGAGTAGGGAAAAGTAAACAAACAGTACCCTCTTTGGGGCATTGTGTAGATGGAGTGCGTACGCAGTATATGAATATGAATAATTTATCCCTTTTTTTCTTCATTGCATCACTTATTTGTGTATGCATTTAAAAAAAGAAATGACAGAAAAAATTATTGAAGTAACCAATTCCACCATCTTAATAAAAAGAAGTTAATAAAATCCCTGCGTTAAAGGGGTAACTGTCATTAGATATTTAGCGTACTTAGAAACAGGGGACTTATAAACTCCTCCCTTCTTCCTTTAAAGTACCAGAAGTTTCAAACTTCCGAACTCTTTCTCATACTGACGTGAAGCATCGAATCTACATAAAAATGCTTAATTTTCAAAATTATTCTTTGTCCCTTCAGCACAGTGTAAGAATCTCTGTTGTAATAGAAAGGTTTTATGTGACATTTATTTAAAAATTCAGTTTTATAGTATAGAAGCCTTTTATCTTCTCACGTTGACAGATTGTTATATTTAGAAAATCAAATTGACTGAATCAATAAAGGAGACGATAGCGTTCATAGGTGCTCTCATTCCCCAAAAAATCATTTTGCTGTAACTCGAAACATCAGTTTTGTTGCATACTACCTTCATAATCAACTACACTCCGCTCGAAATATGTTATAAGGCATCTTTACTTTTATATTTCAGTTTTGGCAGAGCACTCAACTGCAGACTGTGTGAATTAAAAGCATTCCTTCCATGTAGCTCTTGTTTGAACTGATCTATATATGCACGGGCTATGCCAAAGACGAGGATTGGATTTCCAGAGAGGATATAGTCAATTTTAAATTACATCCGTCTCTCGAAATGCAAATGCCTTCATAATCGTTTTGATCAGATTTGAGTTGATGTAAAACTGAATTTGGGTAACGTCTCATAATAATCATTTTCTTTTCAGCAAAATCTAGAAATTAGGTTTTTATTTTATGAAAATGCCTTTATTTTCCTTACAGAAATATTAAAAAATATTAATTAGATCAATAATAAATTTAATATTTTAATTTAGTTATGATAACAAATTTAATTATGTTATGTTAATTACAAGATAGCACAATACTTATTGTTTGAAGTTCTATCAACTTTTCTGCCCCTGTAAAGTATCATTTATCAATGAGAAATGTTCAAGCACTTGTTTTCTGCTATTTTCCCTTTTTCCTATCTAATTGCTGTTTGGGTCTTCTCATTAAAAATGAAAAATACGCATCTGCCCTTCCCATTCAACCGTTTTCCCATTCATCCGCGCATAGTATATTTCAGATCGAAAATTATTTCACGTCGTAATTTCAAACTACAAAATAAGAAGGGAAACCTCAAAGACATACATTTTTTATATCAAATGTCTGATTAGATTTTATTTTAACCAAGTATAAGATAAATGTTTACCTACTGAAACAATCTAATTGGATTAAATTTCTCGTATACTATTTTTGTAGTATACCAAATCACTTTCTCTCACAAAAATACTTGTAATATTTACTTCACTTGTAATATTTCTTATATTAATGGAAACTGCTTCGCGCTTTCACTATTACTATTCATGTAAATAATTTTGATTCAGTCACTATTATAAAGAGTTATTATTTAAAACAGTATAATTGTTGTATACTAGGATATCCAATCTGTCTTCATCACCTGTATGTCTGGACGAAGAATACAAGCATATACAACTGGACGATCTCGATGTCTTAGCAACTCTTGGAGTTGGTGGATTTGGGAGAGTTCAGCTGGTAAGTCTTCTTCAGTTTTACATCAGATTTTCCCTGTTGCTATGAATTTTATTAATAAATTTAAATAAAAAAGCTTCCAGTTGCCTTTAGGCGGGAATTACGGAATGTAAAAAAAAATGTCCCCCTTTTTTTATTTCACTAGCTTTATAACCTCACTGCCTGTTTTAGCCGTCATGATTCCCTGTTTTATGCTTTTAAGTTTGTAAAGCTTTCTCTTTACCTTTCGCCGTTATGCCTTCATTCTCAGCCCCGTTTCGTCGATAGGCTTTGCTTCATTTCACCAGTTCCACCTCATTTTTAGCCGTGAAGGCTCTCCTCTCCTTAGACCAGTTTTTAGCTCTTTGCTTCTTCCCTTTTTTTAGCCGAAAGCCCCCTTCCTCTTTTAGCCGTTTGGCTTTTCTTTGAGGCCCCCTTTTTCTCAACTGACGTGTTCTGTCTCGTTTTAGTTTATTGACTTTTGCCAACCTTGGTACTTAGCACCTGTCTCCTTCTGCCTAATAAGGAGTGAGATAACGGAGTGTGTAGAAGCGTGGATTCAAACCCACGTTTTTTTTTTTTTTTTTTTGCTGGCAGCAATTATTAAAAAACACCGCAGTTGCTTTCAGTAGCAGGAGCGGTTATAAAAATTTGTTGTTGTTGTTCCTATGTACTTTCCATGTTACTGTGGTGTAATGGCTAGGTTACCGGCCAATATTTCGAAAATCTCGAATTCGACTGTAGATAAAATTTCTTACTCGGAAACTCCTTCAATTCAATGCATCTAGCACCTAGAGCCGTGCTTAGATATTGTTACATTATTCTTATGTACGGGTTCTTGGATTTGGAGAGATTAACGACAGTATTCGATGAAGAATGGAGACAATTTATTAGCCGGTATTACTCGGGACAGCTCCCAAAAACACGTTTACAGTAGTCGAAAAACTACGACAAACACGCTGAAACAATCAGCAACACAGGCTTCAGGATATGAGGCTATAACGGTGAGGACAGCTTCACGGCAAAGTACCAGCGTACAGCTCTCGACACGGTTCGGTTGTTCTCGGAGCTCAACGTACTCTCGAGACTCTCCACGCTACAACTGACGATGCACTCGACGATAGCCTCAACGACGCATACTCTCGACGTACCAACTCGACACTAGAGTGACGATAAAAATCGATAAACTACGAGACACTGGATCGACTGAAAGACTGACGAGACACATTAGACTGACGATCAACTCGCTAGAGTAAGCACTGATTGACTGACTCTCCGCGTACCACAGCAAGGTTTATATAGCTTTTGATTTGCGTTCGAGAACATTCTGGGCCAAACCGGTAAGAATTTATTCCAGAAGGTTCTCCATCTGTCTATGGCATATCACCAGTTTTGTCACCACATGTCGCCAAATGGGTGATTCGCGCCAAATATGGCAATCCTTCCCATCTTCCCTTGCCATTTTCTGGCAAACCTAAACCCCCTTTGCGGGAAGCTATCTTACCGTGGCTGGGTTTTCCGTTTGTAATAATATCTTTTTAACTTAAAGGGAAGACGTAAATTCGGGTCTCTAGGTAGAATAAAATTAATTATATTTTGCAATTTTATATTCAACAGCGGTAATTGTTTTAAATCATGATACTGTAATTTTATAATATTTTTAATCATAGCTTTATATCTTCAAAAAAGTAACACGATTAGAAATTTATAATTTTTAAAAGAAAACATTAATACACCTATAATGAGCAAATAGTATTGAAATAATATACGTAATTAGTAATAATAAAATTAATATAAAATACATTGCACCGTTTTCAAGCTTTTTTGTAATTTAATTTTTCTTTCTTTTAGCGAAGCAAAATCATCAATGATTTTATCTGACTCTATTGTAGTTCATGTGCTGTAGAAGAAAGAATAGCATAATAAATATTTTTTTTATCAAGAAAATATTTTGCATGCTTTTATATTATTGAGTTTGAATCTTCTTTTAGCATAACAACGGTAATTAGTACCGTTAAAAATAATCTTAATTTCCGAATTTTAATATAATTGAACTAAATCATATTTGTGAATTGTTCTCAAAACATCTAATCTTTCCTTAGTGTTCAGAAGTATTAAAATAGTGGTTTTAAAACTAGATATTTATAATGAAGTACTAGGAGCATTGGATTAAGAGCTAATATTTAATCTTCCTCCGTAATCTAGCTGTTAATAACCGGTTGGAAATTGAAAATCGGAAAGATCTTTAATATATCACATCTTCATTTTAGCTGTGAGACTGAAATAACTATTACTTATTTCATTTCTACCTTGGGAAAAAGTACTCTCCTGATACATTAGTTCTTAGTTTACCAACAGCTCTTGAAAATCTGATTTATTATTCTCTCTTTTTCTCCTCTAAATTCTGCTTGCATATTTATCTTTAATGCTAAATTTTCACATTTCTCAACAATATGTTCTCTTATTTTCTGTAAAGAAAGTGGTAATCCTTCCATTATGCTTGCGTGTTTAATTCAGTATGACAAAACATAAGAGAACTATCTGCCTAAGCAAAAGCATGCCTTAGGGGAACTGATTCGTATTTATGTTATACAAGGTGAAAATTAGGAAAAACACGAAGCAAACACATTTCCAGAGATTCGATCCCAGTTTAATCCATTGTTAAATGTGTAGCTTTATGTATACTTGTCGTTTTTGTCTGCAAAGTTTTATTTATCTTTTATGTTTCTAGTAGCATAAAATTCGACGCGGAAAACATACATAAAATTTAAAACTGATACACTTTAACAGGCTATGAGTTACAACTCAAAGCATGTTTTATCATTTCATGACTTTATAGGAAGATTAACCAATGATGTTATGCAAAAAGCTGGTCGAGTTGAGTCGTTTTAACTAATAATAAATTAGTTTCGTTAAAAAATATAAGTGATGAATAAAATATGGTCATGAAATAACATAAAAGAAAACTCTTTTGCGTTGTGTTCTTACCTATAATACAATATAAGTGGTCAATAATAAGTAGCAATTAATAACCTAAATACCTTGATAATTTGTATCTTTGATCGTATAGTGTTAAATCTTTAGAATCCCGTTATGAGGCCAGTGAGTTTCCGCATCAAAGCTATTTCTGAATACACTAACGTAATTTTATTAAACATTAATTACTGGAATACAAAATATTATGGTTAACCAGAAACAAAAAACTTCTGGAAATATTTCCATCTAATCTTAATTAGGATGATAGCCATTCTGCAAAATTTCGTGCAGTATTAGTATACTTTCTTAATCAATTATCTCCTTTAGTCCTGACACAGTTCATGAGCAAGACACAATTATCCATGGGTGATAAGTTCCGATGAGGATAATTCGGGATGAAGCTGACGCACTTCTAAATTTAGATACCAGCATCCTTTTTTATGGAAACATCACTCACCTGTTTTCCATTAGTTCATCGCCAAGACACAGTTATCCACGGGTGATAGGTTTCGATAATGATAACTTGGGATGAAGACTTCTATATCTAGATACCAACATATTTTTTATGGAACATCAGTCATCTGTTCTGCATTAATCTTGACACAGCTCAAGACCAAATCATAATTATCCATGAGTAATAAGTTCCGATGCGGATAACTCGGGATATCTGTGACTTGGTCGGCAACCGGGCCTGAGCGTTATGCTCAAAAATGATGATAAGCCTCAGTTCAGGGCCTCTCTCCCCAATGCAAAGGAAATGTTTCTACGCTTTAAAAATAAAATTTTTCCTGTTTCGCGAAGTTTCAATACTTGTAGAACACACACTGTACATCTCTAAAAGGAAACCATTTAAAATCATACTTTCTAATTCTTCCCCTCATTTTCAGGATGTTTTATCGTGTACTTTTTTTACTTACATAGAATCGTACCTTAGATATTTAGTCTTATTATTTTAATTCCAAGCTATTAATATAATTATTATTTGCTTTACAAACCTATATAGTCAGAAACAGCTCTTCCAATTTAAATTTTAAATAAATAAGAAATGATAAATTCCCCTTACAATTAATTGTCACAAAAATGACATAAAAATGAGTGTTATCTGTCTAAAGGAAAGAGATGCCCTCATGGTGAAATTTTGAAGTCAAACACTTATATTTAAGTTGCATGGAAGAAAGCTCGAAAATGCCATAAGCCATTTTTCGGCCACTTGTGGACTCAAAAAATTCTTTAATTACGACCATTTTTGGAGAGCTATAGTTATTACCGAGGATTACGGATTACCGGAGATGTTATTTATAGATGCAACAAGACAAAAATAGGAGTTATGCATATTGTTTAACGGCATATATTATAACGGAAGGTTGTATACGAAACTAATACGGTACATTTCCTTTTCAAAAGTTCTTGTATAATTTTTTATACCATTCGGATGGAATCTGCGAGTAAGGTTTGCTGAAAATCTCTCGACAATCGTTGCGATGTCCAAGCAAAGTTCGTAGACTTAGGAAAGCTTGCTATCGCGAAGCTGAAGCAGTCTCAATTTTAATGGGATTTCTTGCAGTGCAAAGTGCGGTAAGAGATACAAATTAATCGGAGATGGTAAAGAATCACTCGGGCAGCCGCATGGAGATTCCTATATCTATAAATTAAATTACATATTACTTCGAAAATAATTTAAAATAACTGCAAAATCATTAGAAACAGATAAATAACTTGATATTTCAATGCTAATTTGTTTAAAATGGTAATGATATTGACTAATATCTTGATACTTGATTTTCAAAATGCAAAAATTTCAAAGGAGCTCGTCTGCTCCTGACGAAGACTCGTTCAAATATAAACTTTAAATACTTTAACAAAACATCGTGAAATAATCACAAGAAAATTTGAGAGGAATAGAAGTAACTGTTATTTCTTTTTTAACTTTTTTCTTTTTTCCTTTTTTCTCCCGCTCCCCCCTTTTTTTAATAACTTCTGTGAAATCTTAACGAACATTATTACGATATTTTCTTTCTCACTTTCAGGTACAGTACATTTACGACAAACAGAAAACATTTGCTCTTAAAATTCTAAAGAAAGTGCATGTGGTGGAGACACAACAACAACAGCATGCTCTCAGCGAGCGAGCAATTATGATGTCATGTAAACACCCTTTCATTTGCAGGTACGTTTCAAATACAAAGTTAATCTTGTCGCAGAGACTGTAGACTTGAAAACTAGAATAAATATTTTTCCCTTTGTGTAAAATTTTCAAAGTTTGGAAGGAACTAAAATTAAAAAAAAAAAAAAAAGTTTTTTTACATTTTTTTCAGCTATTTTCTTCTGGGAAAACTTTATGCTATTTACAGAGCTAGCAGTGTGGCATTATTTTTTTCAGCAGTTTTTATTTTCAAATTAAAACTACGTAGAAAAAGAGTCACACATAGAAAAAGGGTCTAAACTCTGAACTGATAAATAATAATAACTACTCAGATTAAAACTGCTTTATATACTTCTTAGCTTCTAATGTCCTTCTTGCTATGCTACCTTTTGCTATTTCAGGAGAGTTATCATTGTAGAGCTATTATTATTTTACCTTACCAATTATTTACAATTTCAGCCTGTACTGCCACTTCTTCTTTCCGTTTACCTACCAGAATGCAAATCAAGTTTGGCAGTATTTAAGGCGAGGAGTCTGGAGAGTAAAACAGAACGTGTTTCTGCTTAAAGAGGCCACGTGAGCCAGCTCTGATAATTAATTAATTACTCAGCCTTCAGTTAAAGCTGCTGTAGTTTTAAATTTTTACGCTAGTAAGACGATTTGAGCCAACTTCGCGTTAAATAAATTTGTCTAGCCTTTGTCTACTAGACTTAGTTTTAAATTTGAAATTTACTGTTATTTTAAGTTACATCGGCACAAGTGGTTGCCTGATATTGTCAATCATGAGACGTATATTTTATATTCAAAATTGTGATTTAATGAAAAGGTTTGTTTTAAAACCTTCTCAAGACTCTGTTGTTAACTTTACACGAAGCGATAATTCGCTCTAAGTGTGGTTAAAAGATTGATTCTAGTTTATACTACCAAAGATTACCAAACACTGTAACTTCTAATAAAAAATTCACATAGCTTAAATAAAACATCATTTTTAGTAAACATGCATTGATAACTTTGAATATTATTAGATACACATGGAATTAACTTAAAGCAGGGGTTACCAACAGGATTGGTATTGACATCCTGGGAGTCTATAAAATATTAAAGGGGATCAAGAGGTGTAGCCGAATATGCACTGGCAATTGATAGGCATAATCAAGATCCCATTGATTACAAAAAATTTCTATTAATTGATAATTAATTATTATCAATTAATTCTATTAATTGATAACTCTATTGATAATTAATTGCTTATTTATATGAAGCTGTAGCATATAGTAAGGAAATAAATCATATAAAATAAAGATAAGGCAAAAGTACACTAAAATTATTTAATGTAATTTTTAAATTCAACAATATTTTTGAAATGCATAATTTTTTATGCAATAAGAGCAATATAAGGAAGTGAAACAAAAAGCGTAAGAAAACACAATAAAAAAATTACGAAGAAACCAAAACTGGAATAGAAATAATATTTTTGAAGAGGTGACTTATAAATTAAGTTAAACAATTTTATGCCAAATACTAAAAATATTGCATCAAAATACATAATGTGTAGCCATCACATGAATTTTAATCGAACTTTTGTACAATTTGAATCAGTGATTTTGTTTCTGATAACCTGTTTACATTTGTAAAATTAAATAATAATAATAGTAATAATCATTAAAAAAATAAACTTAATCTAATAGGAGAAAAAAAAAAAAAAAACAATTTTTTTTTTGCTCCTATTCTTAATTTAATTGCTATTTCTAAGCTTTTTATGCGCAATTGTTTGTATTATGATTATGTTTATAATATACGTTATAAAAAAATGTAAGGGGGTCAATAAAGAAAACCATTCTTTTAAAATGGTCAGTGCAAGGAAACGTTTGCAAATCCCTGATATAAACAGTTGTACAGTAATGAATTTATAAATTCAATAACCATTTCGTACAAAATGATTATAATGGGCCAGACTGACTTGTTTACTGCTACGGCTTCTTTACCTCTATCTAATTTCTATCTATCCTTTTTCTTTTTTTACATTCAAGCCTAACGGTGCACATAGGCAAAAAAAAGGTTAATAAAATATTTCTAATGAACAAATATCCATTAAGTTTTGTATAAACATGCAATACGATTCAAATTTACAAAGCAATTTTTCGCCAGAACTGAAATGATTTTAATATGTCAATTTTTTAAAATTAAAATGTTCTTGAAAATTACCATAGTGTTGCCTTTGAGCGACATCAAACCAAGCTTCAAAAAAGGAAGACATTTTAGTATAATTTGATTTATTGCCGATCTGCAGTAGTTAAGATCATATTTTATAGAATCACAAAAAATGGCAAAAAGTTATGAATTGCAAATTCAAGGTAGGATAAAGTTAAAGCGTTGGAGAACTGAAGATGTCTTAGCAATCTTCAGCAGTCTATGGCGGGAAGCTGTTGCTCAGTTCTGACTTCTGGCTTGACATGATTGCTTGACAGAGCACCTCCATTGCATTAGAATCTTTTCAAACCTTAGCGTCTCCCTCTGTAATTCAGCAGATTCAGTGAATAGAGACCACCCCCGTCACTGAGCGTCACTTCTAAGCGACTCTGAAACGATGCTTTACTGGTATGGTAAAGAACTTTAGAGACAATGACTTCGGTCACTTTTATGTACACATTATGATGTTTGTTTGCACTTTTGTGCTTTTGTATTTGCCTTATCATTGCAAATTAATATAATCATTTCAATTCAGTCTGTAATAATTTGTGTTTAAGTGTTTAAGTTTTGAACAGTTAAACTGCAAGGAGTTATTTTAATTCAGAATTTTTAGTCAAATTTAGATCTTTTTATTAAATGATAATAACGTAAATTTTCTTCTTAAAACCTGGGCATAAAAAACTGAAGAACTTTAAAAACTTCCACGGATATTATATAGCTGCTTCCCTTTGCAAAGGGAGACAGAGCAAGGAGAAACCTCAGCAATAAAATAATATTAAAATAGCTATATAAATCCATTAAATGAGGGCTATATTGAGTATTAAAAAAAACCAACATTATAAAACGGAATTAAATTGAGGCTATTAAAGGAATTTTTCAAAACTAATTTAAGAGAATAAGTGCCTTACAAAAACAGTAATGTAAATTTAATAAAAGGTGTGACGAAGACTTAATAAAACAGATAATTCTTCTGCACCCACACACACTGTAACTCAAAATCTCTTTTCTTTTCGTTTTCAAACCTATTTCTAATTTTTTGCATAAATAAAACAGGAAATAAATTAAATACATTTCAACGTATATGTACTTTTAATATGTTACAAAGTTTGGAATTCTAAACAGGTTTTTAAAAATATAAATCTTTTCTTATATATTTTGAGGACAGTGCTACTCTAAGTTATCAAGTTCTTAAATGAATTACAAAATAAAACACACCGGCCTTGATAATGTTACTTTCTAAAAATAATATCCAACAATTAATCGATTCGCCTACGCTATTTCTTATCCATGAATACAGTCTCGTTTTAATATTTATACGAGCATATCTTCTTTTCCATTAGCGACAACGACGTATCTAACGAGTTTCAGGGCTTGAGTCTTATTTCTATGTAAAAATTTTATATGCGCAAGTAAATATTTATTCAACCATCGGGAATAGGGGTCAGGAATCTTTTCTGAACTGTGTTGTGTAGCGAATTTAATTTAATTAAGTGATTCATAAAAATCAAAATTTTAATTTGTAATTATTCAAAATTTGAGCTACACAAGTTTGGTTATATTCTTTTTGGGCCTATTAATTCTAGTGTAATATATTTTGGCTTTCCGAGTTTACGCGAACTGCGTCTTCAATCTTGTACACGCAAACAATGGATAAGTATTTCTTTCTACGTAATAAACTCAGTTTTTCATGTCAAAAATGAATTTGATTTCTTATATTTAATATCATTAGTTGCAGAAAAATTAGCTCTTTAATTTGGCATAACTTTCGTTTCTCTAACTTTAATTGCATTTCAGTATGAGCTTTAATTAGTAGTTTTTTCCTCGTTTGCTTGTGATTTAATTAAAGGGGGATGAAATGCCTTCTTTCCGGTTGAAAGTCACTTTTTGCGAGTTTTCAGCGTTCTTCTTTCGTGGGACCCTTGCAGGGTTGTTGAAATTCCTAATTTCCCCTGTCACAGGTGGTTTTTGTTTGGGGAGGGGGTTGGCAACATAGATTTTCCGTTGAGGTTTCAAAGTGGTTGTTTTGGCGAGATTTGATAACATGAGGGTATGCTGTTGATTGCAACTATTTTACATTTTTCGGCGAATAGTGGGCTTTGCCAACTTGGCAGTCCCGCGCGTCCTCCCTTTTAACGGGATGATTTTGAGGGACAAGGTCACTTTTTTGGCACTTTTGACTTACCATCGGACGCTGTACTCGCTGGCAGCTGAATTTTTTTTTGGAAAATGCATTTTTCCAACCGCCTTTGGATCTACGGGCTTCTTGCCCTTGAGTTTTGAACGAGGAGGGACTTAGATTTATATGCATCATGTCCTCGACTAAATTATAGTCTCATCAGTTTTTTTTTTTTTGTGTTTTTTGTGTGAATACTGTAACGTATAAGTTACTCAAAAAAGATAATTAAAATAGAAAAATGCAACGAAAGGTGATGCTAGTACTGGTGCCGTTAGAAGAAAATTTTAGTCTCTCCTCCATGAATAGAGTTTTCATCTGCCTCGATGTTTCACGTCTTTAAGAATTATTTTCCGCCCTGCAAGAGTCTCCGGCATTGCTAGCTCCGGGGTCGCTACTACATAATGCTTCATTTAACTGGAACAACGGCTAACTTCAATATTGGATTGGAAATCAACTATCAGAGTAATGAGAACCTCCTTAGTGCATCCTAAATCAATTAGAAACTTCTGGACTCTATTGTAAATTCATCTACCTATGAACTCTTCTCATTTTCTACCACGCTCGGCAGCCGTCCTCCTTGGCATCTTGATAATTTTTTAAATATGAGGGCATTTCTCCTCCTCCTGTTCACTTGCAGCCTGTGATTCCGCAGATAAGTTTTTTATTTGTTTTCTTTTATTTGTTGGTCTGATGTAAAAAAAAAAAAAAAAAAAAAAAAAAAAAAAAAAAAAAAAAAAAAAGTTAATAGTAAATATAATAGTAATTTCTAATAGTAATTCTAACAACTTAAAATAGTTAATAATGATTGAAATAACTTAATTAGTTGAATTGAAATATTGTAGTTGAGTAAATTAACCTAATTCTAATGAAATCATTTTGTTTGTCCATAAAGTAAATTATTAGATTGGCTAAGGAAATATATCCTTATTTAAATTATTTAATTGAAATAGTGAATGTAACTTAGATTGGTTAAGGAAATACACCCGCGCCCTTTTAATTGTAACACAATTCTGACAAACTTAAAGGGAGCTTGCCGTAAAGTTAACATTATTAAATATTATACATTAAACTTTAAATAAGCTCATACAAATTCATAAACACAGTAAAATAATATAACAACTAAAAATACATTATGCACAGTAAAATAACATGCAATAATTATATACAACAACAAAAAAAAAAAAAAAATACATAAGAATTTACATAACAACTGCGCCTAAATGAAATAGGGCAATAAATATCCAAAATTGGTAATGTGATTGCACCTAAAATTGATTTAGGGTTGTCTCCGATTAATAAGCACACGAAAATTATAATTTAGGATTGGAATGCAAGTTGTGTTAAATTAGGGAATATTAATGAAGAATATTTTGGAAATTCGGCACTAAGAGTTACAATGACTGTATGAGCTCGGCATGATCTGCATATGTTTAAGTACGTTAGTATCACCTTTAAGTGAACTTTTTCTTCATGCTGCAAGCAGGTCACAATCAACTCACGCTGTGACCAACTCAGTGCACCTTTACAAACTGCGATTCACATGATACATGATACATTAAGAGAAATGCTTATTTGGCCTTATAATTAAGCCGTTTTAAGCCGACTAAAACAACGCTCTTGTGGGTTCCTTACCGCGAAAGCAATCGTAATTAATCGTAGACTACCCATTTACAGAGATCAGCAGAAAAGATGTAAAAGGAGTGACCTTTACCGTGTAGCATGGCAAAACCACAGGAAAGCGACAAGATGAAGAGCTTAGACGTTGAATCAGGGTTAGATTTGGATCATAACACGAAATCACGCCACCCCTGGTGAGAATGAGAAATCATGTGTACAGAATATAAATAATCCAAAGCTTCGATTCAAACTAGACATTAGAGAAATTAAATGAATATAATGCAGTATATTCTATGTATGAAACACAAAAGGTAGGATTCGAAACAAGTACAGCGAAAAGGTATAATGAAAAATACACAATATTAGAAGACCGCATAGTTTAAAAACCGAAGTTGTGATCATGTAAAAGAAGCGATATAAATGATCAGAAGAATTTGTCCTTGAATAGAATAACGTAGTTCAGAGTACCTGAAAAGTGGTAAATATAGAATTTTATGGGCTCAAATTTTAAACCTCGATGTAAAAAGTAGGTTTCTATTTAAAATGTGTACTCCTCCGGTCATAATTCTGTGTGCCTTATTTCGTACCACCTGAAGCTGGTTGAAATCAGTGTCCATGGTTTCGATCCGGCCAGACAGGCATCACACAAAATGGGTCTTATAACCGAAAGGTAAATTCTGAGTTTCTGGTTGAGTAGAAGACCAGAATAAGGACCAAGAGCACATAAGATGTTTTAAAAGCTACTGGCTTGTCCAGTTACATTAGTCATAAAATGTGATCAGTGAGCTGGTGATTAATAAGTAACCCCAAACAGTGTACTATAGGTGCTCAGTCTCAAAAGATAGAGCTGATTAGAAATCGCCGAGTGAGTTTTTCTCTCTTTCGATAATTAATGAGCTGTGACGACTTTAGAGTATTAATGCTCATTTTCCCTTTCAGAAACTACTGTATTCCTGCCTCCAATATGTTTGTTCCACAATGTTCTGTTACTAAAAACTGCAGACCTTGTTCGGTCTTAAAATCGGTTTTCAGCGATGAACCCAGATTAGAAGTTTTTCTAAACACATCGAAGAGGCTTTGTTAATTTCAGTTAGCGGATTTCGTATCCTGGCAAAATAGAAAGTATAATCACTTAAGTAAAATATTGGTTGCAAACCTAATGCACAAGCGATCCAGCAGAATAATGCTTTGAATAATTAAACCCTTTCTTTATTCAATAAGTAGTGGTACCATATTGTTTTCATCACAGTATTTAGTTTTGCCGTGCCATTTTGATACATAATTTTAAATATAAGATTTTACGAAAGCAGAAGAGAAACACGCCAAGTGAAACATGAAATTAGTAACAGAACAACCTTAATTTTGGCATAGGTTTAAATCTTTGGTCTTGATGAAGAGGAACCTGTACTACTTTGTCCTCGAAAGCGATTGAATTCTTGACTTAAATGCCAAACTCAAGATTATTGTGTTTCTAATTCCATAAGAATTTATGTTCAATACTTTTAATTTCTGAGATTCCAGTTAGCAAAACTTGTTGACATAACGTAATTCTTCATTTAACACTGTTTCAGGAACTAAACATAAGTCTGCATACCAAACTCAGTGCAATTCCTTTTTAAACTTCTGATTCTTACACATTTTTCATTTTGTGTAATTAAATTACTTGAGAAGAATACCTTTTTTTAATTACACAAACTCAGAGTTATGAGATATTATAGTTTTTTTTTTCCAATGACAGATTGTGAACAATTACAAATGTAACCCCGTCCATTAATCTATACAAAGCCTCATGTGGTGGTCTCTTTATTATGGAGGCACTTAATAGGTGGGCCACCATCGCCTTTCTATGAAGGGAAGGACAGTTAAACCATGCCTTCTCCGGGATTCGAACCCAGGCCCTTCGGCATCGCAGTCAGCTTCCCTGACCACTATACCGACTGGGCGGCTGAGATATTTTAGTAGTTATATGTATTGCATAATAATATCTTATTATCATTATTAAATCTTATTTCTTTATTTTTTTTATAATTGTAGAATGTACAAGACATTCAGGGATGAAAAATACGTTTTCATGTTAATGGAAGCATGTCTAGGTGGAGAAGTTTGGAGCATTCTAAGAGACAGGTAAAGAAAGATCATGTGTTTTAATGCTGGGCTCAGATTTATTTCTTAATTTTCAGTCATTATGAGACAGTGTTATCAAAGTATCGATATCATGTCTTTTCTAACCAAACTCATGAAATCTGGCTTTCCTGGAACGTAGCTGGCATCAAAAATGTCATCTGACTTGTTGTCTCTTCAAAATCATTTGCATGAAAATCGCATGCAGTTTTTTCTTGATTTTATATCAAAATATTACATTTTATAACATATTGAAAATAAAACAATTTTATTTTCAATATGAAGTTATCGCCAGTTTTTTAACCTTTCATGCGAAACATTTTGGCTTCGGAAATGTCGACATCTGTTCATTACTTCCATGCTTGCTCATTTCTTTAAAACACAATGACTTTGCTTCTTTATTTTATCATTTACTGCATATATATAAAAATTGATGATCTTTATACATATTATATACATATATTTTTAGATCAAACACTGAGAATATTTTATTAATAAATACTATTAATGACGCGCAATATACTGTGGGATTAATTAATTAAGAAAAAGATAAAATATATAGATTTAAGGTCAAAATAGAATAAAATATCTAACAGAAAGATTCAAATTAATGCAGAGATTTTCCAAGTTTTCACTTCAAGTTGTTTCTAATATGTGTCTCCCTATCGGGTAGTTAACAGTTGTTTCTTGATATTAATTCCATATATTTAATCTTTTTCTTGCGTACACAGACACACACACACACACATACACAAACATTCATGAATTTGTGCAAACTTCAGAAATCCAAAATAAAAAAAGTAGTGCTCGGAAAAAATTCGGTTTACGGGAAAATGTCAGATGGATGAAAAAGAGAGATCACATGTCATACTGAGATGTTTTATGCGAATTAGGCTTGCAGTAAAACACTTAGCTAGAAATGGACTCGACATTCGATGCCGGCAATATCCTAATATTAGTAGATCGAGTGTTGGTGGTTAAACTTGAATCCGCAAGTATTGCATTGCGAAAGTTTCGTACGGAAAAAAAAATGAAGGCAATAAAAGAAACGAATTTCATTGAATGGGGTAGTGAATTTAGCACAACATTTTGAAGAAACGAGGAGTTTGGAGGATCTTTCACGATGTGGCAGGCCATCCTTGAGAGTAAACTGCATCCGTGTTGTACAAAGTTCATGAAAGAATTGTAGCCGAGACATCAACAGGAATTAGCAATGCTCGTAAGATTGGAAGTATAATAGGGATTCAGGGATTGTCTATTCGACGTATTCTGTACGGTATCCTGAATCTGTATCCGTACAAAATACAGGCACTTCATCAGTTGTTACTGTTAGATAGAGATTAAAGACAAAACCTTGATACATAGGTGCTGGTATAAATGGAACATGACACAAAGTTGTTACTAAATATTATGTGGACGAAACATATCATATTTCAGTTCACGGTGGTGTTCAATGCGAAAAACAGTTGCATCTATACGACAACCCTTGTAACTACATGACCAAGCCCTTGCCTTCTTCTCATATGACTGTTTGATGTGGTTTCACCGGGTTTTTCCTTCTAGGCCCTTTCGTTTTTGAAGAGCGGTGACCTGTATCTGGTCGGAAAACCTGTAAAATCACTGCAGAATGGTATGTTATGCTTTTGCTTTACCATGTTGGGCTTGCATTACAGGAAAGACATGCGTTACCTGTCATTACCTTCATGCAAGATGATGCCCCGTCCCATCTTGAAGTGACTGTTGTGTTGAAAACTTTCCCTGAAGACCGAGTCATAAGCCGAGGTCGTAAGTTTAAGCGGCCATCACGATCACAAGACATGACGTCGGCAAATTTTTGATTGTGGAGTACTCGTATGTACTGGGGCTCCCCAGCCACTTTGGTGAAATGGACTGTTGTTGGCATCGATGCTGACATGCTACACTCAGCTGTAATAAGCGTAGTGACACGCCTCATTTTCTTGCTACCTTGTGCTAGTGGCCATGATGAAAATCTTTTACTTTAAAATAAGTGCACACCTTCATGTTATTGGGATGTGTCTCATTGTCTGTTTGTGTTTGCTTGATTTGCATAAAACGTCTCAATACGACGTGTGAGCTTCCTCTATTGGTTACTATTGGAATAATTTTTAATGCGTAATTTGAAGAAAATACCGGCTTAATTTCTGATAAGAGAAGAAACTTTGCACTGGAGCAATTGAAACAACCATAGTTTTGACAATATTTCCTCTAACTGCTTAAGAGATGCAGTTTTATATAAAATGTTAATAAAACTATTTTCCCTTTGCTAACAAATCCTTGACGTAAGATGTTTTTCTTTTCATGCTGAAAGATTTTTTAATGGCCAGTATTTTTGTTAATTTTTGCCATAAGTTCTCAGTGACTATAAAGCATGGAGAACCTTCTGACCAACAAATTTACAACACAATACTTTAAGTTTTTATAAATCATGCATTCATGATCTTTGTATTTTATATGCGCTCCGTTTTAAAAATGTTTATGCTTTATTTTATCTTTTTCTATAGATGGCACTGCCCTCGCGCCAGATGTTTAATTCGTAATGTATTTTTTAAAATTTTGCCGTGTGTTTGTGGCAACAGATTAAATAAAACCAAACGACTAGTAATCGATGCTAAGAAAGAATAAACTCATGTAAACAATTCTAAATCTTATTCAGTTCTTTGAGTCTTTTTATTGTGTCAAATTCAAGTATTTCCAGGTAACTATAAATCGATGAAAGAATCATGAAAGTCAATTCAAGGTAAGCTATTTAATAATTATTAATTATTGAACTTATCAACAAATATTGGAGGCACCGACGAGATATTAATATTAAAAGCCGAAAATCTAATTCTAGTATTTCATTAAAGTTACCTGGTTTACAAAAAATCGAAGTTTGCATTGTTATGTTGTAAATGAAAAACTACAAGGAAGTTTTATTTGTATTCAGATTATTTTCATCTAAAATTCATTCTTAAACTCTGGTTTCTATTATACATTTTTAAATATATGTTTGAAGTTTGCACGGCATCTGTACATAACTATAATTGTACGTAATTTAATTCTTTAAGTTAAAATAAATATGTCAAAAAGTAAATCATCAGTTTCGTTAATGTATCGAACTCAAATCAAGCAAATTGGAAGATTTGCTGAAACTGTTGACGATGCTTTAACATCAGAAAATTTAGAGAAAATTTTTACATTAAAATCAAATCTGCAAAGATGTTGTTACAAGCTTGAAGAATATTATTATGAATGTTCTATTTTTGAAGATTTTGATGAAGAATCTGAGTTTAAAAATTTGTCTGAGTCTCAAGATTTGGCAGACGAATCATTAGTTAAAATATAAACTTATCTAAACTCATTTTTTATAAAGAAGCACAGCTGAATAATGATAAGATGGTAAAATCTGCCCCATCCTATGTGAATATAAAGCTTCCGAAGTATGATCTTCCAATGTTTTCTGGCCATTTTAAAAATTGCAGTTTCATCTGATGCTGCAAGACTTATTAGGGGATTCGCAATAACCTCTGAAAATTATAAAAATGCTTGGGACACTTTACTCTACAGATATGATAACCAAACGGAATTAGAATTTTCTCAGTGTAGAAAATTATTTAATTAAAAATTTGTAAAACCAACATCTGATTCCATTCGAACAATGATAGGTACCTGCAATGAAGTTATTCGGAATTTTAAAACACTTGGTCTAGAATGCAATCAGTTAGTCGAAATTCTTCTAATATTTGCGTTGCAAGATAAACTAGAAGATTCACTTAAAATCAAGTGGGAATTAGTGCTAGAGAATTAAATATTTCCATTTTTAAAAAGTTGTCTTTCGTTTTTGGTGTGGTGTGGTGTATTTAATTATGGCAAAGCACACTAGGGCTATCTGCCTAAGAGGAGGGATGCCTTCGTGGAGGACTTTCTAAGGGAAACTGGCTCGTATACACGTTACACATGGGGAAACCACGAAAACACTCATGCAGCCAGCCCGTTCGCGGGATTCGAATCTCGGACCGAACTACCAGTGTTCAGCGACTTTACCTCTCGGCCGCTGGTGGGCTCTTTCGTTTTTGGAAAAACAAGCTAGAAGCCTTAAGAGCGTAAAAGGAAATTATAATATTCTAGACAAATCAGTAAAATCCATTAACAAAACTTTTGCTCTTAAAAAAAGTGTAAAGTTAAGACAGGATTCTTGTGCACTTGCTAATTACCTCATCTTTTACATAAGTGCGAGAAATTTCTTAAAATGAATATTGCTGAGCGTTGGAACTTCATAAGAAAAGCAAACCTTTATGACTGTCTGAGACCAAATCATGGTGTATCCTCATGCCGATTCACTACATCTTGCAGGGCTTGTAAACAGAAACATCACACAATTCTTCATGCTTTTCGAACTGATGAAAAACATTCTGCTGAAAGTCAAGTACAGTCTACTCCAAAAAAGTCTATCTCAAAATCAGCCTTTATATCAACCTCGGAAGAGCAGCAGTTTTGCTTTACAGGGAATGTAAAAAATTCTAACTTAATATTACTTGCCACAGCTGTAATAAGAGTAAAAAATAACCAAAGACAGTTTCTCGAATGTCGTGTTCTAAATGATAATGGTTCTCAAACATCTTTAATCACTGAATCGTGTTGCAATCGACTAAAGCTTTCATTTCAAAAGTCTGAACACACTATCCTAGGACTTGATGATACAGTTGCCGCACGTGTTACGAAAGTAGCTAATTTAAATTTTACTCCTCATTTTAATAAGGGGAACTTTTCTGTTAAGGCTTTAGTAGTCAAAAAGCTGACGTCAAATTTACCAAACTTTGATCTGTCAGAAATAAATTGGCCTCATCTGAAAGGATTACAATTAGCAGATCCTTCCTTTCACATAAGTAGGCGGATTGATATTCTTCGAATATATTCTTAGATTTAATTCAAACTGGAAAGATAAGGTGGGAAATCAAAACCAATCATCCACTCTAAATTCAAAATTGGGTTGGCTCATTTCA